GGGGGGGGGGGGGGCACGCGGCTTCCACGTGGCCTGCAGAGCATGACATGGCTCACGGCTGTGATTTACGACCCTCATTTAGGGGGCGGAGATGAGACACGGCAGGGGAGAGCAAACAGTGCTGGGAAATCGGCGTTTAGGGAGGAATGCCGCGGGCACTGGGAGATGGTGGGGAGGGGGACAGGAAAGGTGGGTGGGGCACAAACACAGAGACCTGGCAGAGGAAGGGCTAAACTGCACACACACACACAGACACACATACACAGACACACACACATAAACACATATGTGGCCACACACACACACACAGTGTAGTTTTCCTATAATTTTCTGTGAATAATGACTGTTATATTGTCACTGCTAAATTGGGGACAGATAAGTGACGCCACACACTGGGTCCGGCGCACCCGGCTCACCTGGGCTCAGAAACCCGCGATGATGCAGTCATCATCTGCTGATCCTCCTGTGAAAAAAGGAGCAGCAGCGTCAGCCAGAGATCAGCGTGCAGTACGGGAGCAGGCGGGGCTTCCACATCAAAAACGCAGTGATGCTTCGAAACCTGGAGGAGGATTTCCACACTAGGGCTGCCACTAAGTCGATGACGCGTCGACATCTAAATTCGACGCATCCTTTTTTAAAATTATGTTAATAAAATTACCTTTATGATTTCTAAAACGCTTCGATTTATTATAACAAAAGTTTTCCTTTAATATCGTTACGTAATTATGGGAGTAGTTCAAATTATCACAAAACAAAAAGGTGGCCTTTCACCGTGCGAAGTGCGATATCATAGCACGGTGGTATTAGCATGAGCACCGCAAGAGAAAACACACAGGCGCTATTCTAGACCGCCAAAACATGCAAAACCACCTTGTCCTTGTAGCTACTAAATACACTCATTAATAAAGCCATAAAGTTGTCTGCCTGTTACGAATCTCTACTGAATAAGTGTTTGCCCAAATGTTTAGGCTAAAATCTGGTCTTGTATGTGGATTGGCGGTGTCATTGTGTGTTTGTGCGCATTGGGCTTGTTGGGACCTAACATAAGAAACTTACATAAGAAACATAAGAAATTTACAAATGAGAGGAGGTCATTCGGCCCATCAAGCTCCTTTGGAGAGAACTTAACTAATAGCTCATAGTTAAAATCTTATCTAGCTCTGATTTAAAGGAACCCAGGGTTTTAGCTTCTGCTACACTAGCAGGAAGATTATTCCATACTCTAACTACACGCTGTGTAAAGAAGTGTTTTCTCAAATCCATTTTAAAATGTTCTCCCGCTAATTTCCACTTATGGCCACAAGTTCTAGTATTTAAACTAATATTGAAGTAGCCATTTGGCTGAACAGCATCCAGACCTGTTAGAGTCTTATATACCTGGATCATGTCCCCCCTTAGTCTCCTTTACTTGAGGCTGAACAGATCCAGCTCAGCTAACCTCTCCTCATAAGACATTCCTCTAAGACCAGGAATCATTCTTGTAGCCCTACGTTACACCCTTTCCAAGGCAGCAATGTCCTTTTTAAAGTATGGTGACCAAACCTGCACACAATATTCTAGGTGGGGTCTTACCGAGGAATTATATAATCATAGCATCACCTCCCTTGACTTAAACTCCACACACCTAGAGATGTAACCCAACATCCTGTTGGCCTTTTTTATTGCTTCCCCACACTGGCGAGAGTGGGACATGGAAGCATCAACATACACACCGAGGTCTTTCTCATAATCAGCTACCTTTATTTCAGTGGAACCCATAAAATATCTGTACTTCATATTTCTGCTCCCTGCGTGTCGGACTTTAATTTGCAAAAAAAGTCCCACCATGCCACCAGCATGTTTTTAAGCATCTTTTCACCTTGTTTAACCCCAGTATCTCCTCTTTGATCTGTCTCTTCCTTCATCGCAACTTAAGTGCTTATTGCTTGTGTTGCATGCGGCACGGTCCGCTAACCGAATATATTAAGCATGAGGGTACACCAAATTTATAGAGGTTACTAACTTTTGGCCATCGCAATATGCATCTTATTAATATTTTTAGGCATAAATCTAATCTGCTTACGGAATTGGGGGCGAAAATAATGTTCACATAGTGCCGAAAAACCCGGAGTACATTATCTAAATGGTCAAATTGATTTTCTGGAGGAAAATTAATCGCTTAGATTAATTGACCAATCGAGAAATTAGTCGATAGATTAATCTATAGAAAGACAGTCGTTAGTGTCCGAAAGAGACTCGCTGGTAGTGAAGTCCCCCCCCCTTCCCCAAGCAGACCCTCCACAAAAGCCAAAGGGCCAGTGAGGAATCAGAGCCTCCATCCCAGATTAATCAGACGTTCAAAAACAGTTGGTTTGTATCTAGAACATTTCAAAGTGCCCTCACAGACTGGGGCAGAGCTGGAGTGACAGAAAATTGTGAACAGTGTCACCGAGATCGTCACGCCAATGGAAACTGATGAGTGCGTCCACATATCGACATTCGGTTCACCATTAGTCACATCCGGATGGTTCACCAAAGAACTAGCTTCCCCTCCACCCAAGGTAGATCGATGCGGATCAGCCGGTGACCTATGGCCCCCCCTGTGACCTCTGTCTCGGTCACGGGGTCAAAGGGGGGGTGAGGTCCAGGGTCTAACTTTGGGGGCTTCTCACTTGGCTGGGCCACTTCACCATGGAGGAGAAACAGACTGGGTCTCACCAGCCCCCCCCCCCCCCCCCCCCCCCCTTAAAAATAACACCACAGCTATGGAAGAAATCCATCAGGAATGTTGGAATCAGACGAAGAGCACAGCACCTCTACAGAGCCCCTAAATAATTAAACACACCCAAGGAAACAAAAGCTCATCTGGATAATCACTATCTCAGATAATCTATACGCCTGCAGCCAAAGGACAACCAGGGGAGGGGGGGCTTTTCAAAGCACATTAAATTATAAAAGGTACATGCAAAAATCTGACCTAAGCCCTAGATGGGAAGATGCAACCCCCCCACCCCCTCTGCCCCATCCATACACAGACCATCATTTGTTTAGACACATTTACCCCAAATTCCCTCCCGCTGAGCCACGTATGATTTATGGAGTCGCTCCTGCACTCAGATACACCTTTAAATCTTTATCCAGCTGCAAATAAGTGGTTCCTTAAATTATCCTAAAAGTGCTTTAGAAGACTCACTGAAGCCAATATCGTCCCAGGAAACTGTCCCTCAGCGAGTAAATGGCAATAAATTACTGAGGGAATGTGTGTTTGAGGCCAGGAGGGGACTCTGAGAAAGAGCTACTACTCGCAGTAAACATACAATGACCCTACAAAAGAAAAAAAAAGAGTCTGAGAAAAATGTTATACATATAATTATATGTATATATGTGATATATATTTGTGTGTGATATATGTGTGATAATATGTGATTATATACATATATATGCATGTGATAAATGTGTGTGTGATATTTATGTATGTGTGTGCAATTTTTTGACGAAGCTCCTGTCCTCAGTCTCACAGATAAGCAATGAGGACCCCAGCCATTGGCCTCAGGGGTTCAGCCCCCGTACCAGAAACATTTTTGGTGCATAATCCGTCACGTGCCACATTGTGATCATTTCTATAAAAACCACATTAAACAGGCTCATTCGCATTTATTCGGGGTCCTGCTTTACTCACCCAGAGTGAGGTACTTAATCTGAATTATTAAATCAAAATATCTAGGCAAACAAGTAAAGGGGATGAGGAAGTCAACGGCTAACTTACAATTACAGTTACGGTGCAGCCGTACAAACCAGATAGAAATTAAAACTGGAATCCGAGCAGCCAAATGACTTTTGAGGATAGGAAGGGCTGCTTAATAATGAGGCAAATATTCAATGTATTCAGTGGAGGCTGGGGGGTGAGGGGGGGGGCTTGGATTTCCCAGCCTGTAGAGGGCCACCGGGTCAATGCCAAGAGCGGCCGTCATTAAGTTCTTGTCACTCAAACTTCAGGGTGTAATTGATGAGAATCTCCCACCCCTTCCCCATTCAACCACCAACCCCCACCCCCCAGTCTGAGCAGCCGTGCTGAGAGCAGCAGCCAGTGAGGCCCCGCCCAGCCGTGCGACAGGCAGCCAATCGCTAGGGATCGATGGATTGTGGAATTCATGCCCATGCGGACACCTCAGACAGTCCCTGGGGGGTCTACGATAGCCTTTAGAGACTGATGAGAAAATGCATTAATAAATCAATAAGGGAAGAACATTCTGCTCCCAAGCAGAGCTCATATTTTAGCAGAATAATCACATAAAATCAGGTAAAAAAAATATATATGTGCTTGTGACAATAAACTGAATTTCCCCATCCATTCATCTTATACTGGCTTATCCATTATTAGTCTTCCTGACCGCTCCATTCCCAAAGACATTCACACGTTTACACACGTGCTGGTGACCATACTTACTCTGAACTTTTCAGTAGGCCTGTGTATATTTCGAATTTGGATTCCACACAAATAAAAATAAAAAAATAAAAAATTATATATATAAATTCACTCAATTACAAATAAACACGAATCCTTAATGTTACTTCTATATCAGATATAATGAAAATGTTTCTGTATTTAATGCACATTGCACCAACTGTTATAGTGAAACTCTAAATGCAACGATGGACATTTCTGTCTGACCTCTAGATGTCGTTCTTTTCTGTTTCTTCCGAAACGTTCGTAACTGTGTGCGAACTTTTCTCAGGTTTTTTTTTCCTTTATGTTATGCCTTTATAAATCCGAATATCTTTGTATACATGTGCGTACAAATTTTCACAGCTATTTTGTTCGTAGGAAGCCTTTATAATTGAGGCCCTGTGTTATTTACTGTAAACAAACCACAATAAAGATAGTTCAGGAGGTTATAGAATTTCATTGTGGGGGACCTTTAACCAGTACACATCTGTACAAAACCATTAAACGACAATCATAAGCAGAATTGAGGAAAGATTTACACACAGAGACACACACAACCCCCATGTGTGTACTTACTCGCCTATAAAACTGATTACTTCTCTAAAGCCCTTAACATGGGGGAGGGGGGCATGTTTACTCTGCTGATTCCTCAGTCTCATCCTGTTACCCGATGAGATGCTTGGAGACCCCAGGAACCCCCCCCCCCATCTTCGTGGAACTCCTACAGTAACAGAGACAGGTCTAATTACTGTGGGGAGTGGTTAGACACTGTAATTGGGTACAGTGGGTATTGCTGATGCCCTAATGAAAAAGGGGGGGGGGGAGACCAAGATAAAGGAAATAAAAACACACAGAGCACATTAAACGAAGGAGACAGAAATTGCGGGGCCCCTTTAAGTCCCAAACCACTCGAAAATGTAAATGTAGCTGAATGGCAGGGAAAAAGCCGCGAAGGAGAATGATGACATGAGCATAGAGTCATTGTCTTTTAGTTTCCCAGCTAATTGCAATCAGAGGAATTGGCTGAGCGGCGTCAG